CTTCTAACCAACAGAATATGGCACAGGTGAGAGGGTGTCTGTAATTACAGGTATGTCATCACATATTTAAGATTGTAGCACTGGTCTCGCTGGAATCTCGGTCCCTGGCTGGCTTTGTTATAAGCAGCCATGCTGGGCCAGCCCACAAGACAACAAACTGTGGGTGGCCCCTCTAAGCTGAGGACAGCCTCGGGCCTACAACTTGCTGGAAACTGAAGCCTCCTCCAATCATACAACGTCCAGAAACTGAATCTGCCAACAGGCGTGTGTGTTCAGAAGCAGATCTGTCTCCAGCTGAGCCCCCAGGTGGAAACCAAGCCTGTCTGGCCTTTTGCAGCCTTCCAGGGCACCCAGCGAAGCCACGACCAGCACCCTGACCCACAGAAACTCTGATACAAGCAGTACTTGTCATTTCAAGCCACCACGTCTGTGCAACTATTGTTTACACAGCACGGGTGACATCCTGGGTTTGTATGTGTGTAAGGGGTAGGGTAGGGGAGTGGAAAATAGACAAAGGCGAAATGCATCTAATATTCTTCTAAGGTTCTCTACATCCAAGTAGAAAGATTTAAACTATTATCAACTGGAAGAGAAAAAAGAATCACAAAGGAAATCAAATGATTTCTTTCAGCTTTTCTTTGGCTGAGAGAGAAAAAAGTAAAGAAATATATACTTAAATAGCTTCCTTTAAGGCATGTCTTATAAAAGTTGTAACAAGTCTTGTAAAACAAATGCGAATGAAAGCAACTGGCCTAATACCCTTTCATTTACTTTCATGGTTGAGTTCCGTCTTCTTTGTCAATGATGAGCACATTAGCATTAGAGAGCTGTGCACGAGTTCATTGGGATGCGAGCAAAGCCTTGTAATCGACTTCCCTGACCATCACGCAGGGAAGAGTGTGGAGGAGGGTCTATGCTGAGTGTTTCTTCAAAGACTCGGGAGAGAAGGACGTTCAATCACACCCGCCTCAGGCGCTCTGGAACTCAGCTGTTTCTGTTCGAAACACAAGAATGTATATACTCTGTATCTCTTAAAAGGCTATTTACCACTGTTGTTAAAAAAGCTATTTACCCAGCGGCCAGGATTTGTGTGGTTCTTTCGGTTTCCTGTGAATATAATTTCCAAACCTGGGCAGGACTGGAACTATACAGCAGGCAAGTCATCACCCTCAGAAGTTGTTGCTGCCTTGACATATTTTGAAAATAAATAATTCGTACAGCACGGGCAATTATATGGTCTACTTCCTCATGTGTTTTTGCAGTAGTACGTGTATTTTGGTTTTTGCTGTTATGTGGCCCCATAAATAAGGCCATAAAGGAAATCATTGGAAATCAGGATGCATTTGCTGAAAAGAATGATGTAATATGAAGCGTTCCAGTTGCTGAACAAGCCACTCGGCTTAAAATAAATGATTTTACAAGTATAAATTTGTTTTAGAAAATCAGATAAAATAATTTAAATTTTATAATAATTAATATTAGGAAAATAATGTTTCCTAATTTTACATTTTCCTAAGCATATACATATTTAGTATATAAAAGTCTTATATAGTATATACTACAATACGTAAAAATAATTCCACACACTGTTTTGATTTATGTTTGATCTGAAATTAATATGCCAGTCAAAATAAACATTTAAATCTTTAACAAAATGGTTTGCCTTTGGAAAATTTATATAAAACATTATGCGTATACAGTAGTCAGACAAGGGACTAACTAGTGGGTGAGAGCCAAGTGCTTTGCGGGAGCTGCCCATTTTCAGAAAGAGTTTTGACTTCCAGTCAAGATGGAGGCACAGGTAAACATGGCTCACCTCCTCACACAACCACATCAAAATTACAACTAAACTACAGAACCACCATCACTCAGAACCGTCAGAAATCGAGTTGAATGGAAGTCTGACAACTATGGAATTAAAGAAACCACATCCAGGCACACTGGTAGGAGGGGCGGAGAAGTGCAGACCTAGAGACATGGAGATGTGGAGATAAGGAGATGGGGAGATGCAGAATGGGCTGGTCCCACATCCACATATGATGAATGAAAATCAAGAGGGATATCCGGAGCAAGGGATCTCAGCCCCAAACCAGGCCCCCAGGCCAGGATTACAGTTCCAGGAAGGCAAGTCCCCATAACTTCTAGCTGTAAAAACCAGCAGGGATTGAGTTGGTGGAAGAATTACTTGATTTCCAAGCAATTCCTCTTAAAGGGCCCACACACAGATTTATTCAGACTCACTCCCTTGGAGTATCAGCTCAGGGTTGCAACTTGAAAGGCACTAGTGGCATATGGGGAGGAACTAAAGTGTCTATATCAGGGCAAGAACTGGGGGACAGCATTCTCCCAGGCAGAACTATAGGCAGAGGCCACTGTCCCTTTTCTGAACCCTCCCCCCACCCAGACCCACAGAGCTGGCAGGTGGGTGCTATATCTGAGACTCCATCAACTTGTCTCACACTCTTTGCCTGGTCCTGGTGATTCCCTGAGGCTCTGCCCCACCTAATACAAGCCTACCCAAGACAGTGGCTTTTCCATATGAATGATTTACTTTAGCTCATGCTTCAGACCTTCCTAAATCCTCTCAAACAAGGAGCAACTAGCCTCAGCAAGTCCCCATCCCCCTGTACCTCTTACTAAGTGGCTGTAGGACCAGCACTAGCAGCAGCTGGCGTTGGTTCACAGCCTAGCCTTACTTGGGTGCCTCCAAACTCAGCACAAGTAGCAGCCATCTGCAGATCAATTTATAGCTTATGCCAAGTGGCCCCAGACAGAACACGGGCAGTAGATGACATTGGCCTGTACCACATGGGAAACACCAGAAGGCTCTAGAACCCTGCTGAAGTAAGTTCTGTTCTGTGAAGTGGGCCCCTACAGAGTTTACCCTCCATGGAGGGCGGAGGTTGGTGGTCAGAGCCAGTCCTTGTAGTGACTTGCCTGAGTAAATCTCTCTCATTGACCTACCAACAGCAATCAAGGCTCACCTACAAGAGAAAGGTATACTCAGCCCACACAGAGGATGCATCTTGAGTACCCAGCTTGACTGATAGGGGAGGCTGTGCCACTGGACCCTACAGGACACCTAGTACATTAGGCCATGATACCAATATAGGGAGTCATAGCAGCTCTACCTAATACACAAGAACAAACACCAGGGGGGCTGCCAAAATGAGGAGACAAAGAAACATGGTCCAAATGAAAGAACAGGTCAAAAAATCCAGAAAACTAAACAAAATAGAGATACGCAATCTATCAGATGCAGAGTTCAAAACGCTAATTATAAGGATGCTCAAGGAACTTAGTGAGGACCTCAACAGCATAAAATATACCCAGTCAGAAATGAAAGATACGCTAGTTGAAATAATAATTTACAGAGAATCGACAGGAGAGTGGATGAAGCCACAAATCAAATCAATGATCTGTAACACAAAGAAGAAAAAAACAACCAATCAGAACAACAAGAAAAAAGAATCCAAAAGAAAATGAAGACATTGTAAGCAATCTCTTAGACAACTTCAAGCATTTCAACATTAGCATCATAGAGGTGCCAGAAGAAAAAGAGAAAGAGCAAGAAATTGGGAATCTATTTGAAAAAATAATGAGAGAAAACCTCCCTAATTTGGTGAAAGAAATAGACATGCACGTCCAGGAAGCATAGAGAATCCCAAGCAAGATGGATGCAAAGAGACCCACACCAAGACACATAATAATTAAAATGCCAAAGGTTAAAGATAAGGAGAGAATCTTAAAAGCAGCAAGAGAAAAGCAGTTAGTTACCTATACGGGAGTTTCCATGAGACTGTCAGCTGATTTCTCAAAAGAAACTTTGCAGGCTAGAAGGTATTGACAAGAACTATTCAAAAGATGAAAAGCAGGGACCTACAGGCAAGATTGCTCTATCCAGCAAAGGTATCATTTAGAACTGAAGAGCAGATAAAGAGCTTCCCAGACAAGAGAAAAATAAAGGAGTTCATCATCAGCAAACCATTATTATGTGAAATGTTAAAGGGACTTATTTAAGCAAAAAAAGATCAAAACGATGAAAAATAAAATGGCAAAAAATACAGACCTATCAACAACTGAATCTAAAAAACAAACTAAGCAAACAAGAAAACAGAGACAGAATCATGGATACAGAGAGTGTTTTGATGGTTACCAGATGGGAGTGGGGTTTGGGGGAATGGGCAAAGAGGTGAGAGGATTAAGAAGTACAAATGGTTAGTTACAGAAAAGCCATAGGGATGAAAAGTACAGTATAGGACATGGAGTAGCCAAAGAACTTACATACATGACTCATGGACATGAACAAAGGTGTGGGGACTGCCTGAGAAAGAGGAGAGTGCTGGGTGGAGGGGAGCAAAGGAGGGAAAATTGGGACAACTGTAATAGCATAATCAATAAAAAATAATAATAAATTTCAATGAAAATCAAAACTAATCGTTCTTTTTCTTTCAATAAATGACTTCATAAAAATTTAGTTATATATAAAGTAGAACCATTTCTGGTACAAGTGAATGAAGTAAGTAAATAAACAAATGTTAAAAGCATCTAGAACTTTGAAGACATTACTAAGAATTGTATAATAATTTAAGAAAAAAGAAGTTTTTCAAGGATTTTCCCCCTCATTACTTGAATATTCTCTATACATTAAAGAGCATGCTGAGAAAGAGCAAGAATCAAAGAAAGAGAGCAGTTAACTGATTGTGTACGTGAGATGAGGCACTAGTGTGAGGGCTTTGGTGGAAACCACAGCGTTGATACAAAAGTTAATGGTTAAAGGATGAGATTCAAAACTGCATTTTTTAAAAAAAATTTTGGCCTTCTTCCCTTTCCTGCAGCTTCCTGACTCACTCACCACCCAGCACCTGCACTGTCCTCCGAAAGAGAAAATAAAAGAGTTTAAGGCCTTCAGGAAGGACAGTGAACTTCATGGCAACCTCAAAGGATGTGGAAAGGCAGACCCCATCAAGATGGCCGCCCTAGCACCTTGATTCACTTACCTTTTCCTGACGCCTAATATTGTCCCACACCTTGTTGCACACCATACACTCAAATGCATCGATGTAGTTGTCTTGATTGACGTCTTGCACTCCCCATGTCCGTTCCCTGAGAGCTGTGACAAGTCGCTGGTTAGAGATCTCACCCTTCAGCTTCCATTCCGTGTAGACCTCGTACAGTCGGTCATCACGGTCCAGTCGTCTGATGTAACCCGCCAGTTCTCTGGGGTGGGAGAATTCCGATACGAGAATAGCACTTCTGTTACTAGGAAGCCAGTCCGTGATGCTGGGGGATCCATAGTACACAGGGACTACCCCCAGTTTCAGGGGTCTCCAGAACTTCTCCGTGATGTAGTCATCACACACTGCATTCTCAAAAGCAAGGATGAACTTGTACTGTGCAATGATCCTATAAAAGCCATCGGCCTCCATGGAGGCTGGGTTTTTCAGCTGCTGAGGGAGATCTTTGTTATGTAAACACTCCCCATAGGAGTCGACCTCAATGTAAGTCATCAGCTCCCGAACATAGCTGTCCCTGTCTGATGGAGGGTCACAGTCTGACTGTACATACACCAGCGGAGCGAGTCTCTTTCGAAGGTTGTTTTTGGACTGCAAAGGGACCAGGTATCGGTGTGACTTCAGGACTTCTATGCCCTCCAAGTATTGGGTAGTTAGGGGCAAGTGGGAATGCCGGCTGAATGTGGCAGTGTAGTTGAACAAAGTGATGACGGGCTGATGAAAGAGCTTATAATTGTTTTTCGGAGATTCTTCATGAAAAAGGGCCCAGTCATGATGGGCTTTCCGAGGCAGGGGTAAGCTGTCTATGTTAAAGTCAGTACCTAGAAGAAGAAAAGAAACTATTAGTGCATCCAAAAGAATTGTGGTGTTTAAGTTTGAGTCCATCTGGTCAGATCAGAACTCAGAGCAGCTTGAGACTATAAATAAAAAGCATGGTTCAGTGTCTGCAAAGGGCCCCACAGGTGGTCATGAAGATTTCACCCCAGAAACTGCTCCGGGGAGATTCGCTAAGGACAGGTTCTGCGTTCTCATGTAACGAAGAGGGAAATGGGAGTGGTGTCTAGCCAGGATCTAAAGGGAGAATTTACCCCACAGCCTCCTACAATTGGCTTTTCCTCCTGCGGGTGTTGTCTGAGAGAGGACACAAGAAATAGACCGTTCTTTAAAAAGAAAAGAGAAAGAAAGCCAAAAAGGGAAAAGCAGTCATCTTGGCAGATTGATTAACTGAGAAAAGGTGAAATCATGCAAAAGTAGCCAGAACAAATATACAGGATAGATTTTTTAATCCAGATGATCGATTTCAACAAAGTGCAGTTCATCAATCTTAGTCGAAGTGGTAGACAAGAAGCTTTTAAAGACAAAGAGCTGATAATAGCACTACGTTACAGACCACTGCAGGATGGACATGAATTAACAAGCATATCAAGAAATAAAGAAGGCATAAAAGGATTATAATTATGAGTGACTCTAGCTTCCAAGGGATTAATTGGGAAGCCCCTGAAACGTGATAACGTGCAGACAGAAGTGACGGATGTGGTAAGCAATTGTGTCCTCACTGCATGGGTGGAGACCCAATCAGCAAGAATTTATTTCCATAACTGAGAAAGAAGGATTAAGATAATATCATAATATATAAGACAGAATTTCTAAAGTGTCCCTGACATGGATGATTGTGTGGCCCCTGCTTTATGTTTTTGAAATGTAAGGAAAGGGTAAAAAAAATCCATCTTCCAGGGCCCACTAGGAAGAAAAGCACCAAATAAATGCTTCCAGTGAAATACAACATATTATCCTAGAATTCATAAAAATTATTTGATACCAGTGCACACTCTCAAATAAACGTATACTCTTTGGTGCCAACAGTACATCAGTGAGAAATCAATTAATCAGGACAGGACTGAAACAATTAAAGGTCAAATAATATTGTGTTAGAAGACATATGAGTGTATACTGAGCGCAAAGAAATTGCTGAAGAAAGTACTGCTGTCTTGATAACAGGCTTTTTTTCTCTCAATCATTAAGAATAAAAGATGAATATCTAAAAATGGTTTTTGTTTACTTGGCATTTGCTATATTTGACCTTTAGCATCCAAAAGAGTCCTCATCCTCACCACTGGGATTTAATGACATGTGAGGTTGGATGGTCAGCAAAGGTTAAGAGAGAAACATGAGGACATGAAAGAGAAGAGAATTGTACGCAATTTGTTACATTGAAGTGGTTACTGCTCAAAAAGGTTCTGGCCTGGTCCTGGCCAGTATGGCTTAGTTGGTTGGAGCAACATCTCTTAAACCAACAAGTCATGGGTTCAATTCCTGGCCCAGGAACAGGCCTGGGTTGCGTGTTTGGTCCCCAGTCACAGCGCATGCAAGATGCAACCGATGTTTCTCTCTCACACTGATGTTTCCCTCTCTGTCTCCCTCCATCCCCTCTCTCTGAAATCAATGAGCAGGTCCTCAGGTGAGGACAAAAAAATTTTTTTAAGTTTCTAGGTTGCTCAAATAGCCAGTGATGAGAACTTGGACCCATAAAACCTGAGTTAGAACATAACATTTCCACCGATGGCACAAGTCAGAGTCAAGGCCGTCTGCCTAGGGGAGCAAAACTACAACCCAATCCCCCAACTCAGAGGTAAGGCTCTAACTGTAAGGTTAGAGACCAGAGGGGATTGAAATGAGGCTGGGTCTGGAAACACCTGGGCAATCTGATACAGACGTCCTGAGTGACTGACTCAAACCCCAATGGCCGTCTGTTACTAACAGTTACGTGGCACCCAGGTGTGCCACGGGAAAGATCCAAAGTGCAGAGCTGGGAAACAGACAAAAAGCCTGCCTCCGATGCTTCAGGTAAGGGAGGGGGCCTGAATTTCGTCTCTGCTTGCCTAGGTCGGTAAAGTACAGGAGAAACTACAAGCGGCTCTGTCTAGACCCACTCGGTTTGTGCTGGTAGTAGGAATCTAACCTGAAACAGCCGCCAGTTATAATGAGCCTCATTCATTATAACTAGGAGATGAAGGCTTACAAGCTCATTATACCTTTAACCACGCTGCTAATGAAACCTTGACGTTGGAAGGATGGAAGAAGAACGTTGAGTCCCTCCCATTTGTAATCTGTGATAGCAAAAAAGCCTGCTGAATCTAAACAAGAAACACTGATTTATATTCACGTACTAAAAAGCAACACAGCTTTTCTATGAGCATGCGGTTCTCGTACATCCATCAGAATTTTGTTTAATTTGTAGGAGCGGGGCTTTATGTCTTTGATAGCAGGGGAATGCCTCTTTAATAGAGAGGAAAGTTAACAGGAACTGACTTTCCAGAAACATGTCCCATTATTTGCAGTCTTTAAAAAAACTTCCCAGTTACACAACACATACACACATATACACTCATTAAAATAGGCTTTCTATAGTCTTACAAACTGAAATCCTCTGGGGAAGGATTTTTTAAGTCATTTTGACTGGTGAATTCCTCCCCTTAAACCTAGAGTTTCAGGTGGCAAGTAGCTCAGGAAACAATACTTAGCTCTCTCTGACTCCAGGAAAATGCCCACTACAATAAGAATCGGAACTCAAGTCTTTAAAGAAATGAAAATCAACTAACTTATGATAAGTCCAAAAAAATGTGACTAATTTGCATCCAACTGGTTTACCAGTCACCTTCACTGGCTCTTACCTTTAACAAATTCAGATTCAGACTTTCTTTTCTCTGGGTTATTTGTGTTTATCGACTACTGACAAATTTATTTCTTCCTTTAAATAACAGCTGACAAATAGACCGTAAGCACTAAAGTGCATTGTAAAGGAAAGTGCCACGGCATACAACTGGAATAAAATTCACGCTGGCAAATGATGCTGGACTGCTGAGTGCGGAGACTGAACTTGACACAGCAGGTGAGCGGAAGGGCACCGATGCCCAATGATGTGTGTTCCTGCGCTCCTTCTCTTCCACGGGATTATATACTCTTCTTCTGTGATTTCAAGACAGGCCCGTAAAAACAGAGGGCAACACATGCTATCAACCCCACTGGGCCAATGAAGTTGGAGTCATTTACCTGGAGCTCAGAACCCCTGGTGGGGACCAGGACTTTCAGACGGACTAGTGGTAAAGGACCTGCTACCATGCTGAGTCTGTTGAATAACTTACCCCTTGGCACTCCCAAGAACACCCACAAAAACAACACCCAGCTTAAACCCGGTCCCTGGGGAAGTCAGCATGCCTTAACCGGGGGAAAAGTGCTCCCACCAAATGGCCTTCAAAGGTAATTTCTGTTTTTAAAAAGAATCTCTACAATAAAACCGTGTCCCATAAAATGTGGTACCACCAAGCAATCCCAATGAGAGGGAACTAACATTTTTGAGAGAAGAAAAAAAAACAGTTTAAGGAGAGCGGCTGCCTCCTTGGTTATCAACTAGCATTGCCATAGTTCATTACTATTTTTAAAGCCATTTCACATGAATTTTCTCAGCTTTTCCTCATAGCCACATCAGATCATTTATTTTCTCTAAAGTTCTGAGGGTTAACTAAACATGTGAAAGAATGATGTCGGTAACTCGGAAAGGCTCCTGTCCCCTCAGGCTAAACTCTAGCCAAGGGCACTAGAGGTCCCTGCCACACACAGGCCCAGGAGGGGCTGTCTCTGACCAGCGCAAAGGGACTACTCCGGCAGGTCACCTCACTCAGAGCACTCCTACCAACCTCCAGACCCACGCTCCTCCCTCTCCGCCCTCTTCATGAGTCCTTTTATCTCCCCCCTAATCAATTCTATGTCCCATAGGCCTCTCTCAATTATACATGGTATAGCCCTCTATCCATTATGCATGTTCAATTAGGCATCTGTCTGTCCTAGCCCTGGGCCTGGAAATTTCTCAAGCCCCCTGACTGAGCCTGTGCTATAGGGCAGTCAATAACTCTGCAGCCTGCTGCCACACAAGGCCGGAAGAAAGAGGACAAATAGAGCCCCACGTACCCTGAGCCTAAACATTTAAAAGCTATAAATCAATTTAACAAGCTATAAATCAATTTAACAAGCTGTTAAATGTTTTATCTTTCCACCTTAACATATATACATCATGATTTTATTTAAAAGTGCACATGGCTCACACCAAATAGGGATAACATAGATTCAAGACTAACACTGTTTTGTGCCATAATTCATAATTTTGGGGGGGGACCTAGTATGGGGAGAAAGGGGGAGAAGGAAGAGGATTCTCCTTCACTTGCCCACTGACCCTCACTTAATCTCTCAAACCTCCCTTTCCACTCACTCAGGACGGCTGCAGGTGAAACACCCATTTTCTTCTCCTCTGGGGATGAGGGTGGATGTTGAGCTCAGTTCTATACTGAAGCTTCTGTCCTCTGTTGCAGTAGCTCAAACAAAATCCAGCTGTTTTTAACAAGTTTCCAGTGCAATACTTTTCATTTACTGTCTGCACCTTTGCGGTCACCCCTGGACAACCTTTAAACCCAGCTGCCCTTAGAAAGATAAACCAGGGATTCACTGGTTCTCTGGAGTGGCCTCCAAACTGGCCTTGGGGCAGGGAATTCTGGGGTTCTGGTACTTGGAGGTAGAGGGCATAGGCCCTGTGGCCACGAGTGGCCATGTGACCATGGCCCATAAACTCCTTCCAGCTGAAGGAAGGCCAAAAGAGACAGACCCTCTTGGCCAAGTCTAAGGGCTCCATTGTTCTAATTCAAGTCGCCACTCATCCTCCCCAAGCATGGTTGGTAACCAGAAGTCATGCTCTCCACTAAACAAGGGCCTGATGTACCTTTTGTGATGCCTTAAACAAAGCACACAAATTCAGCTGTTTTTTTGTGTGTTA